CTGATGTTGGAGCTCATATAATACTTCTATAATAATACTAATCATAATTATATATTTATTATATTCTGTGTTTTATAGAAATTAAATAAATACAAATAAATATATACAAATTTAGTTGATTATAAATTAATACAATTTTATGTGAGGCATTCCTATTCTGAGAATTTATTTGGTTAAACAAAATTTAGCCAAGATTTTTGATTTTAATTGCTAAACCAAGTAAATAGGACACGAAATATGAAGAACCAAAAAAATCCCGAAATAAGTGCTATGAAGATAACCAAAAAATGATTAGAAAATTCTAGCTACGTACCAACGCCTAATCATTATATACCTTATATTCAGTCAGTCGATCTAAATCCTAAAATGAGATTTTGATACGTATTAAATCTGTTATTATTTTTATATCGAAGAGATGTATCTAGTTCATTAAGGTTTTAGATTTAAATTTTCATGAATATATCCATCGAAAGGCTTTACTTCTGGTTAGTGTTGTAAGCCACATGAATTTAATCGGCTGACTAAGCTAACAGCGGACTAATAGTCTACTTTTCGGGATACTTCGGAAATTTTCTCAAGTATTTTATGTTTACGTATTCATTTCCTTCTCGTAATCCTACTATTCATAAATCATGTAACTATTAGCCGCATTAGCAGCTGGCTTAGTTGGCCAAGCGGCTTAGCTGCGGCTGCCCTAGTCGGCTTACAACACTACTTTTGGTACGTTTCCGAAATTATTTGTTTATGCCTCCTTGGCAAAGGATATAGATTACAAATACCAAATTTAAAATATGATAATTCAACAAACATTTATTCGGATTATGAAAGTAACGTTTATACTCGGAGATCTAGGCGGTAGTGTTCTCATTTCCTCTGGACAATTCTGTGCAAGATTTGTTACTGCAGTACTAGTCGAAGCGTATGAATGTCCCGAAGTATCGTCATTTCCACCAAGTAGTGGCTAGAAAAAACGACACACTAATTACCATTTGAAATAAACGGGTATATTATTTCTGTGAGGTGAGATCCAAGAATAATTTACAACAAGAATCATCTAGCTCAAAATTTATAACAAAAAAAATATGTATATGTCGTACGTTGGAATGGAATTATTGTAGATTTAGAATCCATCTAGATTGATTCTGAATAAACATAGATTGTAATAGAATTCTAAAAT